TAGTCTTAAACGTCAACTGCCACACTGAAATATTATATCCCCAACATGATCCCATGCTTCCTTTTTCGAGCATGCATTTGTTTAACTGCTTAGCAGATAAATTTTCATAAGGATACACATTTTTGAATCAGTATTTTACTTGGCATGCTACAGCTTCATTAAAGTGCCTTGTGATGATTTTGCTAAAATTGTAAAAGTACTCTTTCAATAGCAGATTTGGAAGCTGGAAAACTTCAGTATCATTCAGCAACAAAAATACATTGAATGACTGATTACATTTAGTGTGTCATGAAGACTAAATCAGTACATCAAGCTGACAAAATATTCTCAGAATTTCTACAGATGACTATTTCAAATTGGCAAATAATATTTTCACTAGTATTAAACAAAAGTCCATTAAAATCTTTGTAAAAACAGAACATAAAAACATCTCTAAACAAATTATTTATGCTGTAAAAAATATGGTATAAAAAGAGCTAAAAAAACATTGAACCTGTTCACAGTATATAGTTTTAATGTTACAGCATTATAATACAATGATGTGTGGTTTTTTTTGGGTGACCTGTACGATTCCACCAGTTCTGCTGTTTTTGTGCACCACAACAGGCTCAAAGTTCAAATTACTGTTACCTTCAAGTAGGATTTCAGATAAGAGTTGATTCATTTGTCATCTATTTTGGCTATCCCCTGCTTTACAAATTTTCTGACATCCTATGAAACATAAAATTGTTGTTCATCCTAAGCCGCTCCTGAATCACATAAGGAAACATTGATAAAGTGATGTTCAAGAATTCCTTTTTTCTTGTATTACTATTAAAGAGTGTGACCTTGCCAGTTTCTGTTTTACTGCTTGAGCTATTTTTTTTAAAGTTTTTCTTAATCCAAATAATGAAAATGAGAGCATTTCACTTTTTGCTTTGTCCCTGGTAAGTTTTACTTGCTACATTTTGCACAACATGAGACCAAATGAGTTGCAAAGGTATTGAAGCTTCTTATAGAAGTTGTGCATACACTTCCACTCGTAGCAACAGTCAAAGTGCAGATTTGGGACTGTCCAAAAACCTACCTAGAGATTTTGTTAGGTATCACATTAAAAAATAAGGATTTCATCTGTTCTGCTGCACCAAAGTCATCTGGGCAGTGCTGTCTCAAGAAGAGGATGAGAGGGATTATTTCCATCCTCTCACAAAAAACTTTACTAGAACAGCTCACCTGCATGGGGATGCTGAATCCCTGCCCTCCAAAATGCAGAAGTTCTCTGAGATATTTTTATTATTGTAAAAGCAGAAGGAATTAATAGAATTTTTGTGGGGGAAAAGTATTGTCATGCACCCTGGGACAACTTGTAAACTTACAGAAACCCTGCCAATACCATCTGAGGTCTGTTTGCATAACATGCAGAAAGGAAACAAACACTGGCTATCTTAGAAACACTGGGGAAAATCCAAAGTTATATAAATGGGGGAGGGGAAAGAAAATAGTTATGGAGGAAACTTTTCCAGCTTCTAAGGAGATATTTAAGACTTTAAGACAGTCCTAAACATAATGAAGTTAGTTTTTAAACACTCCAACATTTCTGAATCCTTGTCTAGCATTTGGGCTCTGGGACTGTGTTTCCAGGCTTGCTAAGGAAAAGGCAAAGAAAAAGCCAATAATAAATACTGTGAACTACCAACAGCATCTCTGAGCATCGGCCGTACAGGGAACAACTTAATGCACAGCATCACTAGCACTGTGCAGTGTGTTGGGAGGAATGCAGATGGCAGCTGCTTCCTCTAGATGAAACTGCATCTCAGAAGGCATATATTCATGCACAGGACTCAAAAAAAAAAAAAAAAAAAAAAAAAAAAAAAAAAAAAAAAAAAAAAAAAAAAAAAAAAAAAAAAAAAAAAAAAAAAAAAAAAAAAAAAAAAAAAAAAAAAAAAAAAAAAAAAAAAAAAAAAAAAAAAAAAAAAAAAA